AATATTAGTTAAATCAATAGTTTTATAGTACTGTATAGAGAATACTTGTAATTGTTAAGTACTGTAATGAGGTAACAGTCTTTGTAAGGGGCTGATTTCAAAACCTCTGCTACAACTCATCGACTAGCATCCTGGAAGACGCATGGTAATTTTCGAGGTATATTTTTGTCATAAAAAGTGCGTCTTTTAAGCCGAAAAATATGGTATATTGTTACCAGCAACTGTAGTGAAACTATGAAAGTTGTGGAAAAATCACTACAATACACTGTACTCTTACTGTGGCTTAGAAATATGGAAATATAATATAAAACTATAAAATAAGAAAAATAAAGAGCATAAGTGATGAGGCGGTGGGTTACCGGGCTATAACTGCATGGCTGCAATCTCTCCTGACATACTGTCACAGCAGCCACTTATACTGCATGTGAGTAGGCTGGTTGACTGCCCGAACTGCATCTGTCGACTCGGAGGATGGTTCGAGTGTGTAAGGATAGAAGGCGAATACCTGACCACGAGGCACAAGTCTCGAGACAAAGATTACATGTGAGTTGAGTTGCCAATTAAACAAATATCCAATACAAAGTGTATTGTCCCACCTGAACATTAAAAATATGCTGCAAAAATTAAGAACTTTGAAGAACGTCGCCTTAGTGAACATGAAGAAACATCAGCCGGGGTCGCCTTAGTGAACATAGAGAAACATCACCCGGGGTCGCCTTAGTGAACATAGAGAAACATCACCCGGTGTCGCCTTAGTGAATGTAGAGAAACATCACCCGGTGTCGCCTTAGTGAACATAGAAAAACATCACCCGGTGCCGCCTTTGTGAATGTAGAGAAACATCACCCGGGGTCGCCTTAATAACAATAATACAGTGACCCCTCCGTTAACGAACTCAATCCGTTCCAGAAGGTCGTTCGTTAACCGAAACCAATGTTTCAATGGGTTTTTGGGTAATTGGTTCCAGCTCACAGAAAATTTCCTAAATTCAACAAAAATGGTAGAAAAGTTCACTTACTTTGAGGTGTGTATGTAGAAGGCTCCTGGATGATGATGATGATGATGGGATTTAGAATGGGGGTGGAGGAGAAGGAAGAAGAGAAGGCATTGGGGTGGAAGAGAAGTCACCCCATGGAGCCATTTCACCCATAAAATTTTAGCTCTCTTGGTGTAATTCAAAAGATTTATTTTCTTTAAATCAACACTGCACTGCATTATATATTGTGTATATAAAATATATTTCAAAATGACCAATAATTTGCTTGGAAACACAGAAAAAAAGCGTTTAGTTGAAGAGAGTCTCAAGCAAGATGTTACCTCCAGTGAAAACAGAGAGACTAACTCCTGTTTGCTGTGTTAAGAGGCTGGATGCCGCGCATTAAACTAGTCACTTTACCTTCAATTATGTTCAATAAATGTTAAAATGACTAAAAAATTGAATATTAAACTTTAAAAATTATTGAATAGTATAAACTTCTTGATACTTACTAAAATAGTAAGGAATTTAAGCCCTAGAACCGATTAATGTATTGGCGGACTGATACTAAAGCTGGTTGCCCGGTCAGTGCAAGCGAAAACATGTTGAGGTCGGTTTGTAAGAACTTCGTTAACCGAATTGAAGATCTTTATGGAAGGCAGTTCGTTAATCGAAATTACGTTAACCGAGGTGTTCGTTAAACGAGGGGTCACTGTAAACGGTTTATTAATAGAGTTGCAGCCGGTGGCTGAAAATATACAGACTTACATTTAATTTAGACATAATGATATAATATGCATTGAATACATTTACAGGGCTGTGCAGTACATAAATCAGGAGTTGTTTATTATTTTAACAATAGATGGGATGGTGCTGTTCTTATATCTATCGGTGCGGGCTCTTATGGGCTGAATTTTGTTGTAGTGGCGGACTGCGCGAGTTGGGTGGGGGGCTGCAGGTGGCAGGAGGTGGCGATGGCGAGGGTGGTGCGGTAGTCCACGGCCAAACCTTTCCAGTGCTTGGTGGTGGAGGTCACTGAGGGATGGCATTTCCAGGGTGGAGAGAGCGTTGGTGTAGCCAGAGTATTCTGCTCCGAGCATGATTCTGCAGGCCCTTTTCTGTACCTTCTCTAGCTGACGTTGTTGGGTGGAGTTGAGAGAAATGGCTGGTGGCCTTGCTCCACGTTGGTTGGATCATTACTCAGTGTGCTGAGGCTGCCTTGACTGTGTTATTTACATGGGCCTTCCAGTCAAGTTTGTTGTCTATAGTTACACCCAGGAGTTTGGCAGACTGCACCAGCTGGAGAGGATGGGCACCCACTGTGACTGCTGGGGCTTGCACTGGAGTGGTGGCGGTATTGATGTGCACGACTACGGTTTTGGTGTGGTTGATGGTGACCTTGTTCTCTGTGGTCCATGCCTGTACCCTGTCCAGGGTGCCTTGTAGCGATGAGTAGTCTGGTGCGGTGTTGTCCACTGAAACCCCCACAGTGCAGTCATCCACGTACTTCCACCTGTGAGGAGTGTCCGATAGAGAGTCGTTGATCAGGATGAGGAAGCACAGTGGTCCCATCTTGGTCACCTGGGGAACACCGCAGGTGAGGTGTTGGAATGTGGAGACGAAGCCCTGATACCTCACTGCCTGGTGACGTCCACTCAAGAAATCAGTGAGCCATGAGACCAGATTGGTGGGCAGCCCTAGTGCAATAGCCTTGTTGATAACAGTGCAGTGATCAACAAGGTTAAAGGCCTTCCTGAAGTCCACAAGGGCAACGGCCAGTGATGTCTTATGCGAATGTAGAGAAACATCACCCGATGTCGCCTTAGTGAACATGGAGAAACATCACCCGGGGTCGCCTTAGTGAATGTAGAGAAACATCACCCGGGGTCGCGTTAGTGAACGTAGAGAAACATCACCCAGTGTCGCCTTAGTGAATGTAGAGAAACATCACTCATGCCTTAGTGAACGCAGAGAAACATCACCCGGGGTCGCCTTAGTGAACATAGAGAAACATCACCCGGTGTCGCCTTAGTGAATACAGAGAAACATCACCCGGTGTCGCCTTAGTGAACATAGAGAAACATCACCCAGTGTCGCCTTAGTAAACGTAGAGAAACATCACCCGGGGTCGCCTTAGTGAACATAGAGAAAAATCACCCGGGGTCGGGGTCGCCTTAGTGAACGTAGAGAAACATCACCCGGGGTCGCCTTAGTGAGCGTGAAGAAACATCACCGGTGTTGTAGTGAATGCTGAGAAAGATCACTTGATGTTTATGTAGTGAATGGCAGAAAGATCACCTGGTGTCGCCTTAGTGAGCGTGAAGAGCATCACCCGATGTTGTAGTGAATGTAGAGAAACATCACCGGTGTAAGCCTTGGTAAGATGTGAAACATCACCCGGTGTCGCCTTAGTGAGCGTGAAGAGCATCACCGAATTAAGCCTTAGTGAATGTAGAGAAACATCACCCGGTGTATGGTGAGCGTAGAAACATCACCCGGTGATTATTAAGCCTTAGTGAATGTAGAAGAAAACATCACCGGTGTCGCCTTAGTGAATGTAGAGAAACATCACCGGTGTGCATATGTAGTGAATGTAGAGAAACATCGCGGTGTAAGCCTTAGTGAGCGTAGAAGCATCACCGGTGTCGCCTTAGTGAAGATGTAGAAAGATCACCCGATGTTGCCTTAGTGAATGTAGAGAAAGATCACCTGGTGTAAGCCTTAGTGAGCGTGAAAACATCACCCGATGTTGCCTTAGTGAATGTAGAGAAAGATCACCCGATGTTGCCTTAGTGAATGTAGAGAAAGATCACCTGGTGTCGCCTTAGTGAACGTAGAGAAACATCACCCGATGTTGCCTTAGTGAATGTAGAGAAACATCACCCGGTGTCGCCTTAGTGAATGTAGAGAAAGATCACCCAGTGTCGCCTTAGTGAATGTAGAGAAACATCACCTGATGTTGCCTTAGTGAATGTAGAGAAAGATCACCTGGTGTCGCCTTAGTGAATGTAGAGAAACATCACCCGATGTTGCCTTAGTGAATGTAGAGAAACATCACCTGGTGTCGCCTTAGTGAACGTAGAGAAACATCACCCGGGGTCGCCTTAGTGAACATAGAAAAACATCACCTGGTGTCGCCTTAGTGAATGTAGAGGTACGTCACCTTTATATTAAATTTAAACAATATCCCTTTTATGACCCCAAGTGCGGAAAACTATAAGGTATTGGTCAGGCGTATTTTTTACATAAATTGATATTTTGGAGGAAAGTGTAAACTAACGTGTTTATATAATACAGGCTATAGACTATCTTTACTATATTATAGTAAAGATATACAGTATAGTCTATATTTTTAAGAAAATGTATATAAAGGTGATTTAAAACTTAGGGGCACAGCTTAATTGACTTTTTTAAGTATTCTAAATACCTTTAATTATTTCAAAAGTCATTGATCAACATTAATTACTCAAATACTAAATTCTGAACCAAGATCCTTAATCAGCATGAAAAGTAGTACCCGGAGTTGCCTTAGTGAACACTGAGGAACATCACCCAGGTTTTAAGGGTTAATATTGTGCACTATCTATCAATATATTATTGTTCCTTTGAGCTCCATGTGCTTTGGTATGACCAGGGAAGTAGAAACTTTAAGAAAGGGAGAAAGTATAGAAAGTGCACAGGAAATTGGTAAACCTCATATAATGCACAAAAATCATGTTATGGAATGCATATCTATTTTTACACTTTATTATACTGTACAGTACTGTACTGTATATAGAATTTATTATTTATTATTACTTTGTTTATCATCAGCTCAATAATCAAAAGAAACCATTTTCGATGACACTGGCAGGCATAATCACACCTACTCCTGCAAAAGCACAAATGTTTGAACTGGACAAGATTCTGCTCACCAATAAATGGGTTAAAGTTGCATCCTGTTCAAATGATCTTTATTATCACTTGGGATATCAAGGTAATCATATTTTGGAGGCTAAGCACAAAAATCTAAATTCCAACTCACTTGTACTCAAGAACTTCGTAGACCTGTCTGATCCAGGAGAGGGATGGATGGTTTTCTGTCCCTGTGATGGTGTGGAAGTAGATGACCACATAGTCTCCTCGCACAAGTGGGTCCAGCAAGTGGATTAGGTATAATAGAGCCTGAAAATATATACCAATTATGTCATATCCAGCATTATAAATACACACAGCACATTGGAGTAAAATTAATATATACAAAGCCCTTTTATCCATCAATTACTCATCAAAGAAAGGATAATTTCCAAAGCCTGAAAAATTTTCCTGCAACACTGATTACACAATGAGCACCATGCTACAATCTAAATTTATAATTTGAGTTCGATTACATAAAGCAGAAAAATCTTGGTAAAATTTTTACTGAAAGTTATGTATAATATAGGTATTAGCCAGAGAACATGGTGATTATGTCCTCACTTCAATAATTCGGTATGAACATTTGGAAATACAGTACAGGAGCACTTTATTAATTATGTTACACCTTGAAACCTCCAATAGTCAGAGTAGAAGGATGTGTATTCATGAAATAACTACCATAGTGGGTGACTCAAAAGTTATCAAAGTTAGGGAATGAGTCTGGAAGTTTGTGCTACGAAAAATTAAATAGTGAATAAAAAAAAAGGAGTAAAGCAATACAAAATTTGTATTGCTTTACATAGGAAAGGGGATCAGGGAGAAGCAACTTTGAATAAATACATTCTGCTGCATAATAAGAGTACAGTCTGCATTTAGTGATTTCTCAATACAGGTATCCTCAGACTCACAACAGGGTTGCGTTCCTGAAGACCCTAATATAAATTGAATCAACGTAAATCAAGAGCCTTGAACATGCGTTTCAATGGGATACGTTCCTGACCTCTACGACACACACACATACACTGACAAAGAAAAAAACGATCCTACACTAAATAGTAGCCAGCCTGGTCATCGTCGCATGTCCCCACCGAGGCTCTTGTTGATGGAGGTAGCCATTTTTAAAGTTAGAGTTACACTGAACACTTCACAGTCACAAAAACAGAGCAAAATCTGAACAATAATGTTTTCCACTCATCGATAATGGCAGAGTATCACAGCAATGACAAGGTTATACAATAATTAATACAAGTTGTACCTTTCTAGTCCAGCAACCTCGGGACCTGACCGGTGCCGGACCATGGAAATTTCCGGACCATGGAAATTCACCCTCGAAACACCCTACATAAAGCATAAAAACACAAGATAGGAAATAAATAAATAAGAAAAAGTAATACGGTTAAAATACTATTTCATTTATCTTTAATGCTACCATAATTCTGCTTCCAAAGTGAAGTGATGGTACGGTAACTAAAATTACATTTGAGTTACATCAGGGATGTTGGCTATTGGGCAAACTAAAATCGTTCCGGACCACAGAATGCCGGACTAGAGAGGTACAACCTGTAATAATGTTATTTATGAGAGGGCAGATGCATCACATTGAAACAAAGCTCGAGACTGTAGTTCGCATGGTAGCTGTGAGGCAGCACGGAGGATGGAAAAACAGGTTCTGTGCATATTGGCCATCTTGGTTTTGACAAGTGAAGGGAAAGATGCGTGTCCTCAGTTTTTACATTCCACGTCAGTGAATTTAGCCTTACAATAATTATTGTTAACAGGATTTTGCCTAAAGTAAATCGTGAGAGGGTGTTAAAAGGATATTAACATTAACGTAGATACTGTAATTGTAAAATGTATGATCATAAATCAGGGAATGCCCGAACAGTATTTAATTTTTCCATTTATTTCTAAGTATTTATACATCCTTTCTACTTCCCTTTATTATGTTTACTGAAATATTTTACACACCAGGTAATATTTGAACTAATGCAAGTAACGTACCTTATCCAAATTTATTTCATTGAATTTAAACCATTTGCCAATGAATATGACCACAGGCCGTCCAAATTTGTCCACACCACACTTGTACAGACAACCAATCCCAGACACTTCACTCAGGTCCTCGTTTTTGGCCCGCCGCAACAGACGCTCATACCTGTGGCAATGATAAAAGAAATTTAGCTTAAATATACTGTAATTGCTTTGTTTTGGTGTAATAAAGCTTCTTTTTTTTTTTTTTACTTTGGTACTTACAAGGTTCATGCACACTGCAGCTCACATGAAGTGGGAGAATATGCACATGCTTGTAGTGTACAATATATTCTACTTAAACAGAAAGGAACTACCAAAGCAGTAATGCTCTAGATGTGTTTCAGTTTCTTATGATTTGCATCAAGTGAAAAAGAGTGGAACTCTCATAAATAATATAAAATATTGAGTACTGTGTGGATATGCCTTAAGTTAGACTACTGCTCAATAATAGGGTACAGAACCTAGATCTGTGTCCTTTCCCATGTGCAGGAGAATCTGCTGCCTGAGAGAACATCTGTATTGAGGAAATCATGGTTGGGACTAAATGAATGATGCCTGGAATCCAATAAAGCTAAGCCATCTGGCAGGTGAGGGAAATGCACACTAATGATGTCATAACTTGTTGACTTCTGGTTTAAGTGGTGACTGTTACTTTTAAAGACCCTTATGATGGACTTAGTTGAGGCCAGGTTTAATAAAGTTTGAATATCTTTGAGTCTCGAGCCATTAATTGTGTGAGTGTATCTTCTAAGTTGCCTCATAATACACATCAGGCCATATAAACCCAGTCCTCGCTTAACGTTGTCCCAGATAACGTTGTTTCGTCATAACGTTGCTACTCTTTAGATACCCATGATTCCGACAATGTTGTTTTACGACCCAACCGATTTGTTATAACGTTGTCACAGCGTCCCCCAGGCATTTTCTCTTCAGTCTTTGTTAAGCTTCCACAGCATACATGCGTGCTTTAGTGTTTTTGCTATAAATACTGTACTGTAACCATTTCAAGTGGCTCCCAAGCGCCCATCAAGTGTTGTGAAGAAGCAACACAAGACCATTAGCCTTGCTATGAAAATGGAGGTTTTAAACCGTTTTGAGAAAGGTGAACGTGCTGTGGACATTGGTGTAGCATTAGGCCTAATCCCCACAACAATGCATACTATCTGGACCAGCACGGACAAGATTAAGGCTAGTGCTGGAAGTGGTACTTCTATAAGTGCAACAAAGACAAGTCGTGCTCGAAGTTCCATGATTAAGAAGATAGAGAAGACGCCGGCTATGTGGATAGAGGACCAGAATCAACGCAGCGCCCCTGTGAGCCTTCTGGTTATCCAGCATAAAGCAAAATCCTTGTATTTCAACTTAAAGGCCATAGAGGGTGAAGGATTGAGGGATGAGAACTTTACGGCCAGTCGAGGACGGTTTCAACGTTTTAAGCAGTGTTATAATATATATTTTCTATAAAAATCCCATTGAATTTATGTATAAGCAATGTATTTTATGGGGCAAAGGGACTTGGTGTAACTACATTGTAATACAGTATGTCATAGAACTATGCATTGCAGTATGGTACAACTTGTACATTGAAGTATGACATAAAACTGTACAATCAAAGCTCCATTTTTGTAAATTAATAATTGCTTTCTTTTGTTTTTGGGAGTGCAGCTCACAGAAGAGATCCCTAAAATTGTTCCAGTTGCTGAATGAGGCAACTAAAAGAGTACACAGTTTTGAAATGTAGATAACATCATAGGCATACCAAAAGGAGGGGCAATGGGGCAATAGCCTCCTCCTTGAGCTAATAAATTATTTCAAATAAACCATTTTTATAAGAAAAGAGAGAATAATAATGATGAAATAATTAAAAATAATGGTATCACTAATTAATTGAACGGTAAGCTTACCACCAATGTACAGAAAAACATTAATTACGTCGTGTTTCAACAAAACTTCAGTATGTTTAGTTTAAAGTCTGCCCTCCCTCCTTTGCAATAATAGAAAACAAATGGCTGGGCTAAGAATTAAGGGTTTCTATTGAAAAATGGTACATTAGGCAAATACAAAGACATCCAATTGCAGTATTTCCTGGCAAAACTAAAATTGTTTTTATGTCTAGCAAGTTTACTCTATTTACAGCATAATGGGATGGATAAGGTGCATCTGGAAAATTCTCCTTTGGCATTTTGGATGTGTGCTCAATTAGTTTCATTAAAATGAAGGAAAAGATATGGTTGAAAAACTTTTACAACTGTGAATGAATCATTGTTATTAATGACATATAAAGAACTCTAATGAGTAAAGCTGATAGTGCACAGTCTTTTATAACTTAACTGGTCACCAAATTGACAGGTGATGTTAAGCTCCAGGGTTATTGTCATCAAAGACAGGACAATAAAAAAAGTCCAGAGACAACCTTAAGAAAACCAAGTATAGTATCATGTATAAATACTCTCTCTCTCTCTCTCTCTCTCTCTCTTCACTATCACTCAGAACTGAGTATGATAATCATCCAATAATGACAGAATTATAAGAATTTTTAATGGTTTCACCTTCCTTGGTGAACTTTAAGGTGACTCTAAAGCAGTGGTTCCCAAACTGGGGGGGGTGTGTGAGAGTTGGATGTTAATTTTTGCTTCCCCAAGTGTGAAAATTATCAGGGATCAACAAATAAAAGTTATTATCCCTTGAAATATCAGAAGAAAAATATCACTGATGAAATACTGAAGAATTGTAGTGACTTTTTGTGTGTTTGTCCACTAACCAATCAGCTGCCATGCTACAAATTGACCCCAGGCCTCAGTTGCATGCATAAAGTGAGAAGACTACTGTACAGGTGACAGCATCATCCTGATGCTTTTCTGCCTTGGCAATTAGTTGAGCTAACTAGGTTTTAACACCCTCTCGTGTAGTGCTTCTCTAAACACCATGGTGTAGGGTGATTGTATTCATTAACTGTAATTAAAGATTTATATAATACTCTACTGAAGACCTTAACCTAGCTCACCTCTGCTTGTGCTGGAGGTCAGAGGTCATAGAGGCAGTCTCTGGATCAGCTGTGGCATATGATGGCTGACCACCTAGAAGACGCTGCTTGTCTATGTCTTCCTCCATCTGGGAGAAAGCATGATCTCCAATGCTCACGGATGATTGGAACTGTGTAGCCAAGTCTGCCGAGTCATCCACATCTGAGAAAATGAAGCACAAGGCTTAGTCCAGCTTATTAAACAAAAGCAGGAACACTCACTCTTTTCTACTTCCATACAGTATAGTAAATCAACATTTTGCCCTGATCTATAATGAATGTATGATATACATGTTCTGTACTGAAGGTAATAAATATTACAAGGATAATCAAACAGGAACATCATGAATACTGTACATAATGAACAGGGGATAAAAATATCTAATGAAACTGGAATATAAGGAAATATCAAATACTGTACATGAAGTATATTTAAAGGAAAAAAAATCATGGATGATCATGCACGTTATTATAACATAAAAAAGGAAGAAATCAAATGAAGCAATGAAGGGTTTCTTATTTCATAAAACAACAAAAACTAAATAAGGATTCAAACATGCAATGGCAGTTTAATAACAATGGCTATGCCTTTTTTCAAGGCATGAGCACAAAAATTCTAATTCAAAGGGGAAGCATTTGATTATAAAACTTAAGATTCCGTTTATAAAAATATAAGCCAAGAAAGAGTTGTACTGTATTAAGCCTGAACTAAAAGGCATTTTATTTTTAAATAAATAAAAAATCTTTAAGTACAGTACAGTTGCTTAAGAAACTTATCACTGATGTAGATAATACAACACCATTGCAACAACCATGGTTAAGTTTCACATTGTTCAGGTTCATAGTAATGACTATCATGTACCTATACTGTACCATACTGTACAGTACTTTAAACTTCTCCAAGGAATTACTGTACAAAGCAAGTAAAATAAAATAAAATTCTACTGCTTGCAGTCAGAATCTTTTTCAATAGTTTGCGATAATCCATTCCATTTATGCATCTTAGGTAATCAAATTCCTTAATCTACATCTCCAAAATAGACGATAAATTATGGTTAATAACTGTAAACTTCGAATGCATTTTTAAGCAACCATATACAGGACAGTACAGTATTTACTTGAGTAGTTTTATCTAACCATAAACAACTGAGACAATAACATCAAAATCTACCACATCAGTCTGAGTCTATCGTTTATCGCACACTAAGAATTTTCACAAAATATCAAGTAAATAATACTTAATAATTATAATAAGTATTTTTTTCTTCTCAATAGTTATGATATTTCTTATAATTTTTAATACAATACTGTACTGGAAAGCATATTTTAGCAGTTGATGGTGACATTAAATGCTTAACATTCAAACTTTTGGTTTTGTGAGAGAATGAGCACAAGTGATGACACCATAAGTCAACTTTACCTTAATATGTATTAATAAATATAGAAAAAAGTAACTAAAGATATTTTTTCTTTAATGTAAAGTGACCACCAAAAGGTAAATATTAAAGCAACGAGTACAACTACAATACAGTATCTGTGACGGAATGGTACAGCTAAGATAGCCTGTCACTATGATCTGTAATGCTGCGTAAGTACAGTTGATCATAATAAAACATTTGTACATCCACAGACAAGAAGAAATGTAAACCTGAAAATAATATGTTGAGAAAGTTTGAAGAAAGTGATACTTGCACACTCTTTAGCGTCACAAGAGGTAATGTATTTCATTCCTAATTCTGATGTCGTAAAGTACAGTAGCTACCATATGTCTACCATCTATACGACCAACAATACACGCTGCCATGCAAGGAGACTGCAGCTACTACATTCACATCACTCAGCATGCACATATTAAATAAAAAGTTTTGTATACAGAATAAAAATAATCATATGTATGTTTTAAACTTGCTTGTCTAGGCAATCCAGTTGTTCTTTAGTAAGCCCTGTAACTTAAAAAACCAAGAGTTCAGTGGACTGGTACTTTTAAAGGATATTTTCTTCAGTATTGAACAAGTTAAACAGCATTACAAATAAAAATACGGGTTCCTCAAAATCACACCTGTATTGTTAAAAGAAAAATGCATAAGCATTGAGATATATGATTTAATACTGAACATAATCTTCCAAGCTCTTCCTCCACTAAAACTGGACAATGGCATTCATAACAAAGTAACAAACAACAAACCAACTGCCGAGTTGATAAGTGGTGTAATGATATACAATATATATACTGTATATACTGTATATATATATATATATATATATATATATATATATATATATATATATATATATATATATATATATATATATATATATATATATACAGTGACCCCTCGTTTAACGAACACTTCGGTTAACGTAATTTCGATTAATGAACTGCCTTCCATAAGGATCTTCAATTCGGTTAGCGAAAAAAAATTCGGTTAACGAAGTTCTTATGAACCGACCTCAACATGTTTTCGCTTGCACTGACCGGGCAACCAGCTTTAGTATCAGTCCGCCAATACATCAATCGGTTCTAGGGCTTAAATTCCTTACTATTTTAGTAAATATCCAAAAGGAAGTTTGCCTATTCAATAATTTTAAAGTTAAATATTCAATTTTTTTAGTCATTTTAACAATTATTAGACATAGTGAAAGGTAAAGTGGCTAGTTTGTCACGCTGACATCAGCCTCTTAACACAGCAAACAGGAGTTATTCTCTCTGTTTTTCACTGGAGTAACATCTTGCTTGAGACTCTCTTCAACTAAACGCTTTTTTTCTGTGTTTCCAAGCAAATTATTGGTCATTTTGAAATATATTTTACATATTGACAATATATAATGCAGTGCAGTGTTGATTTAAAGAAACTAATCTTGAATTACACCAGAGAGCTAAAATTTTATGGGTGAAATGGCGCCATGGGGTGACTTCTCTTCCACCCCAATGCCTTCTCTTCTTCCTTCTCCTCCACCCCCATTCTAAATCCCCCCCCATTCTAAATCCCATCATCATCATCATCATCATCATCCAGGAGCCTTCTACATACACACCTCAAAGTAAGTGAACTTTTCTACCATTTTTGTTGAATTTAGGAAATTTTCTGTGAGCTGGAACCAATTATCCAAAAACCCATTTAAATAATGGTTTCGGTTAACGAACGACCTTCTGGAACGGATTGAGTTCGTTAACGGAGGGGTCACTGTATATATATGTGTATATATATATATGTGTATATATATATATATATATATATATATGTCATGTAAATCCACAATGAAAACGGATAAGATAAATCTTGATAAAATCACACGGGGAAAATGGAAACAGCAGTACCTTAGCTTTCGTCTTGAATGAAGCCCAGCTAAATCTCCGAATATATATATGTGTATATATATATATATATATATATATATATATATATATATATATATATATATATGCTGGTAACCTGCAGGGGTTCCCAAGCGCTTTCGTGTAATTCACATCTTCAGGGGGTGAGTACAGACTAGAGAAATATAAATCAAGGTGTATATATACAGAGATGGGGTGAACCAGGTCCACAATGGTCAGAGTATTAGGTAATGACCCTACTAATCTTCAAATAGCACACAACAGTTTGGTGGTCAGGTCAGATGGTCAGGTGACCCGGCCTCACCTGGTCACCTGGCCATCTGACCTGACCACCAACCGTTGTGTGCTATTTAAAGATTAGTAGGGTCATTACCTAATACCTGACCATTGTGGACCTGGTCTCACCCATCTCTGTATACAGTATATACACCTTGATTTATATTTCTCTCTCTAGTCTGTACTCACCCCTGAAAATATAATACAGCGCTTGGGAACTTTGTGTTTTCTTCTTTCCTTGTGGTTTATCAGCATATACCTAGATCATGCGCACCACAGTGATTTACTTGCACACACACACACAGTATATATATATATATATATATATATATATATATATATATATATATATATATATATATATATATATATATATATATATATATATATATTATATATATATATATATATTATATATATATATATATATATATATATATATATATATATATATGTATATATATATTTCAAGTAGATCCAAAATGGAAACGTGGATAAGATAAATCTTGATAAAATCTCACAGGAAAAGGGGAACAATGGAGCACCTTAGTTTTCGTCTTTATTCAAGACATCTTCAGAGGCAACTGAATTACAAGGACTGAGAGAGGCTATGTACACAGGGTGACCTTACAAGACATGAGGTCAGGTCAAAAAGGTTACGTTGCCCTTTCTTTTAAGCTCCTTTTGTTTGCCAAATTTCTATTACTACTGTACTCAATTGTCAAACCAAACTTTGTATCCCCAAAATTGGTCCTACTTACTGTATTACCCTCAGATGGTTCTGTCTCATCATCTTGATATTAACAAAACACTTCCATCATCCTAAACAAACCAAATTCTCGTGTGACAACATTTGTATATTACACCAATCATTGATAAAGTTACTCATCATATACTGTACCGTGCTATATGCCATAGGCTGCAGTTCAGTTTATTCCTGCTTGGCATCTCAAACCTAAAATGTTGGTCATAATGTAACAAACAACATAAAGCACCAAATTTATAGTGGTCCACAGTGTGGCCAGCACTGCACTCAAGTGTCATCACTGCCCTGGGTATGAAGCAGTGAGTATTAGGAGAAGGAAAGTGCTTTCTGCTTGGTTATTGCATCCCCAAATTAAAAGATTGTTTTTTAATAAAATAATCAAAACCCAAAATATATTAATGAGCAAAAACACACAAAATTTGCCTTATGTTTAGTTATGTTCTTTAAAAAGTAAATACTGTAATGTATACATATAATGCATCTTTTAAGGGCAAAAGAAGATTCCATATTGAAACATTTTATGGTATATTCTTAAAAAAAGAAAAAAGTTAAAAACAAACAATATCAGTAGTACTTTATGTAGTATATGTCGCCTAAATTAAATACTTGTACTGTACACCCAAGGATTTAAAAAAAAAAATAACAAATTTAAAAGATATATACAGTACAGGCCACATATTTATCCTGATGTCCTTAAAAATTAATCAAATTATGCAATAAAAATAAATGAAACCTAATAGAAATAATAGTGTAAGTAATAAGAAATTGGGTTAATTACTGACAA